AAGGCCCGAAACGTCAGCCTTCCTGCTCCTGTGATGCTGCTTGGCCTGCTGTGTTCATCCAGCTCTACACCTTGTTATTGCAGCGTATATTGCATGGGTACACATTGCTGCCATTGTTTCTGGTCAATGATAACTTGTAGGGTGTTAATGATAGAGGATTTAGCGAAGGCATGAGGAGATATTGAACAGTGTTATCAAACTACAGTGACATCATGTGGTCTACCATCTTACAAACACCTCATTGAGCACACTAGGTGGCGCTGTGCACTGGAACACGAACATAGAGTCATCGACCATACTGCATGGAAACAGGCCCTTCGATTCAACCAGTCCATGCTGACCACATTCCCAAACCAAACGATGCCCATATGCCTGCATTTGGCCCACATCTCTCTAAATCTTTCCTATTCATGTACCTATCCAAATGTCTTTTAAATGTTGTAAGTGTACCTGCATCTACCACTTCCTCTCGCAGTTCATTCCACATACAAGCCAACCTCTGTGTGAAAATGTTGCCCCTCAAGTCCCTTTTAAATTGTTCTCCCCTCAGCTTAAAAATATGTCCCCTTGTTTTGAACTCCCTCACCTTAGGGAAAAGACTGTTGCTGTTCACCTTATCTATTGCCCCTTATGATTTTCATAAGGTCACCCCTCGAACTCCCACACTGCACTTAATAAAGTCTCAGCCTATCCAGTCTATTTTTATAACTCAGACTCTCCATTCCTAGCAACATCTTGGTAAATCTTTTTTCTATCCTCTCCAGTTTAATTATATCCTTCCTATAACAGAGTGACCAGAACTGCACACAGATCTCCAGAAGACACCTCACCAACGTGCTGTACAACCTCAACATGATGTCCCAACTCATTTATCAAATGGAAAAAAATAGTTCCGTAATCACTCCCTGAACTCTATTTTTTCAAGCAGAACCTTCTCAGGTAAACAGAAGGCGTAACACCTGTCCTGTTATATTCTCACTCCTCACAGTCCAAGGTCCCAAATCTGCTTTCAAGCGAAGCATCAATTTACATGTTCTCCTCTTGCTGTGCTCATAATACATTATCCTCAACACCATGGAGATTAAATGCAGATTGGGTGACCATTTCACAGAACACCTCCATTTATTTCGCAAACATGACCCAGAGTTTTCAGCGGTCCGTCATGTCACCTTGTTCTCATGCTAACATCTCTGCCCTTGGCCTGCTCCACTGTTCCAGTGAAACTCAATGCAAGATTGGGGAACACCAAATCCTCTTTCAATTGGCACCATTCAACCTTCCAAGCTCAATAATTTTGGAACGCAACCCGATTTCTTTTTTTGTCTTTGCATGTTTCAACCATCGCTCTGGACACACACTTTTCCTTTCTCTGTTTCTTTTCTCACCACATCTCCATTTCCTTTACCCTACAAAGCCTAACTTTTCTGTCATTCAATATCTCGTGTCCCACTCTATCACACAACTTTCTTTGGTCCTGTACCACCCAACCTCATGTCAAAAACTTATATCTCTAACTTTTCCCAGCTCAGGTGAAAGGTCAGCAACCTGAAATGTTAATTCTGTTTCTCTCTCCATTCAAGTATATAAGTATACAAACTCGGAGCAAGAATAGGCCTGCTGTGCCATTCAATAAGAGCATGGCTCATCTGATTGTGGCCTCAACTCCAGATTTTTGCTTAACTGCGTTCCCTCCCCCTGCTAACCCACGAACCAATAACCTTTGAGTCCCTTGTTAGTCGAGAACCTATCTACCCACGCCTCAAAAGACCTGCAAACTTGCTGAGCACAGACAGCATTTCCTGTTCTGTATGGTTTCCAGCTATAATGGATTCTTGAACTCAAATGTTCTACTCTTGTGTGTCACCTTGTGGAGGCCAAGCCTTTCTCCAAGGGACAAAAAAAAACTAGATGGCCAGCAATTCCAGACTGCTCTTCTACACTCTGTGGAGCTGGCTAGAAAATGGCTTCAACAGAGACTGAAGGAAAGCTGTGGGGAGACACAAAGAAGTGGCAGGGAGGGAGGAAAGGGAAAGATGACTATAATAATAATAATGCTTTTAACATGTGGCAGAATGGTTATAATAAATCTCGTACCTCCTTAAATTTATGCACCAGCTTTTCAGGATCCATTTCCACCGGTGAAAGCATATCTTCATTCTCGGCTAGATCAAAAACTTCAATTGCCATGTCATTGTTAACGAACATAGGGCTCATCTCTTCCTCCTCTTCATCGGTCGCATATTCTCCTGTCTGGTGGTGACATTAGGCAGTTTGTAAGCAGTGCTCTCTCTCCCCCAATCCTCAAAGTCAGTCAAAAGAAAACCAGGGGATGATTACCGAGAAACGGATATTAATGTCAAACTGCATCTGTCTGTCAGAGATAAAGTATTGTCTAAGGCACACATGAGCTCTAGTTCAATGCCTACTCAAGATAAATGCACTTGATAATGGGAAATGAAACAATATGAGAACAAACCAAGAGGATATGATTAGATGATTTAGACTCTTTCTGTCCATTTCACACATTTTCTCAGGCACCTTCAATCAGTTCTATCTGCGTTTCCTCCACACACATGGAAATGAACAGCTGGATATTTGTGAAAAATATCATAAATGAAAGGAAACAAATTAGTTGAAAAATTAGCTCTCCCTCATTACCCTGGAAGTGCACTGAAAGGTGCTGGCCTGGTCACAGCTCCAACAGGGACGGACCATTGCTGACTATTCTATTCCACAATCCACATGCAGTGTGAGTTTCAAAACTGCCACCACCGCAAAGTTTCACACATACTCTTCAAGCCAAAAATGAGCAGACGAGAGAGACACTTTCAAAAACATGGGCACAATTGTTAAGGGCCACATTAATGTATCAGATACTTATCCTGTACATCCTTACGTTGCTGATCAGGTTTCACTTTCAAATGCAAAATATGTGATTCTCTTTAGCGAGGTGACCACTTAGCCATGTGCATGTCATCCATCCTGTTCTTACATCAAACATATACCTCCAGGAAACAACTACTTATGCTCCCAACAACTAATCAAAATAAAATGTAGACTTCAGAGTGATTCATTTTAGTCTCATAGGCTAAACTGGAACTGCCTGAAGTAGCAACATTACAGGCATTATTCATTCAATATCTATGAAAGATTTCCCCTGCATTAGATTTCATTTGATGGCCGTCACATATACAAGTTTAAATTTCATTTTCTTAAGTGCTGAGCTTTTAACAACCTCAGTCCCATTTGGCTTTCTAGTATTTTCAAAAAGGCTGCATTGTGTTTCTCCTAGAACTATTTAATCATTTTGACACAACGCAGCTGCTGCAAATTGAACAGGGTAACCATGACAACAACAAAACCTTGCATTTATATAGTGTCTTAAACTGTAACAGCTGTAAGTCTCCCAATTGGTGCTGCAAAGTAACCTGCTCCACCTCTGCCAACTATCGAATACATATCATTTAAAAAAAATCACTTCACCATCACTGAGCTGATTTCAAAAACGATGATGAATTAATGAAAACATTTTTAAGCTACTCTACAGCTATATTTTTGGTACAGGAAGAACAATTGTATGGCTTCCTTTTTCACAGATAGGGTGTAGGAAAAGTCACAGATTATAAAAAGCCATTTATACAACAGCAATAATGCACCTTTACATCCTAAGTAATTGAAAGATCTATTATCAGATAAAATGTCACATCTAACCATGTGAAGGGATATTAAGGTCGAGGCCAAAAATGCACTCACAAGAAACAGAATTAGGAAGCATTTTGAAGGAGCAGATATGTTTATGAAGGAAATTCTCCAGAGGGTATGATCTAGTTAGCTGAAAGCACATCAACAATGGAAGGGGGAAGAAATCTTTGATGCAAAAGATGCCAAAATTAGAGGAATATAGAGTCTTCCCAAGCTGAAGGAGGTTACAGAGGGTGGACAGGGCAAGGCCATGCAGGGATTTGGATGGGGCCATTGGGTATGTTAAAATTGTAGCACTTCTGGATCAAGAGGTGGGTCAATGGGTGAAAATGACTTAATGCGTCAAGATAACAGCAGGCAGGTTTTGGATGAGTAAAAGGAGGGTGTAAGAGGGAGGCCAGTCAGAAAACCTCTAACATAGTCAGGACTGGAAGTAACAGAAGCATGTCTGAGCAGCAAACTGGCTTAGAGGGAATGAAGGTTAACAGAAGTAGAAGTGGCTGGCCGTAGTGATGGAAAGGATACAGAAATGGAAAACTCTATTCAAGGTCAGAGAGATTGCAAATGTTCTGGTTCAGCCTCAGATAGTTTCCAGGGCTGTAAGGAGTAAAGCTGTAAGGAAAGGAGTGGTTGACAGGGCCTCAAATCAGTGGTTTATGTCTTCCAATATTTATCTGGAAGGAAATTTATGTTCCAAAATTAGTAACAAGTGACAAATAACAGGTAATAATCAGGTAGTTTGAAGCAGTTCACCAACTACACTGAAAAGTGGAAATGTTGAACTGGATTTTCACTTTCAACATGGGGATGGGAAGTTGGGTAATTTCTTGACAACATGATCTCTCCATCATGGCAGAGTCCGCCCATTATATTTTCATCCTGAGAAGGTGACGATGGCCTGAAATGAAGCTGACTGGAGGGAGCGCTGGTGTTGAGAGAAACGAGCTGGCTGATTAGAAGGCCAGACTCCGTTCGCTGGCACATTAGCCCGTTCTCTCACGTGGTTGCTGTTTGGTCATGAGGGCTTGCTGAATGCCAGATGTCAATATCAGTGGATGAGGGCTGTGTGCAGCTGGTGCATGTATGGAGCATGGATATCATGTGGAGTAAAATACTTAAAACATTTTCTCCAGAAAGTAATGTAATGCATTTGTAACATTTCCACTTCCCTTTTATGAACAAAATCCTATCATCAATTACTGCATCAAAACACTTAAATTATCATACACCTAAACAGGACACCTATGTTTGGCAACAGCTTTTAAACTTCCCTATCATAATGTTCATGATTTTATACTAGGGTTCTCTCACGGTTTGCAACTCCTACAGGAGTTGTGACCAAGTCTCCTGCAGACATCTGATTAACGCCATCAAAATTGCAGAGGGTGGGCACGGGTGTACACCCTCACGGTATGAAGGGCAGGATTGCCAAGCACAGGACTTTACCCCCAGATTGTTCCGGTCAATAAAAATTCTACAGGACTGGAATGGGGATAAGAATCCTGAAATCAGGTCCCACCTGCCATATTTAAATCTCTCCTATCTCTGCTTAGACTTGAATAGAAGCTTGGTTCTGCGTTCAGAACCAACTTGCATTTCCTTCCTTAGTTTAGAGCAATTGAAACAATGACAGAATGCAAAATAACTTTCTTTACCTCACAGTCTCTAACAGTACTTACTGTTTTACTTCAAACGTAAAGGACATTTGTTTGTCACAATATTTTTAATAGACACTGTTCCACATCTTCCAAATGCACATATATTACATCCCAATCACAATCTCCAAGTTAGTGATAGCTTTTGCAAGCTGTAAAAGTAATTATCAAAAGTTAAACTTCTTCATTCTGGTTTATTTTAAATTCCACTGAACTCCAGGCTATAGAAAGTTTTATTTTAAAACAGCAAGTAAATGTAAGATGAGTATCTTACATAAACTATTGGTAAAAACAGTAACTGATGCATTAACTGTGTACCTTTCTCAATAGATGCCATTTGATCTGCTGTTTCCAGCTTTTTCTATTTTTAATTCAGTACAAATAACCTTTTGTATTATTCCAGCTCTGATGTTTTATATTACTGGAAGTGCACAACTTGATTTGCCATTGCCAAATTTGTTTTTTTTAACATGGTGAATTAAAGGGACAGATTTGCTTTTAAGCCAACAACAGAAATATAAAGGCTATGCCATCCACGTGTGATTACCACCTCTGATAATTATGGTTCCAGCATCAGTGTGCTGTTTTTGAAACCAGCGCCCTTTTGATGGTTTACTGTCTCATTGTCTAGGTACTGAGTTTTACTGACCAAAACAGTAAAATGCTCCCAATCGAAACTCATAATGGACATTGATGAACACTCCTTATTTTACCACTAGGTGACAGCAGAAGATCTCTACTGATATAATGTATGATACGTTCTTCACAAGAAATCCAGGTGAACTTGTCAACTGAAGTGAGACATTTGATTCACACGAGTAGATATTTGGGTATAAAATTATAACATTGGTGAAAACATCATGAAGATTGGCTCACCTCTGAATTAAATTTGAAACATATGGAATAATGGGAATAATTATAACTCATTGTACCAGATTATATCACAAATTGCTGAACAGTTTTCTCTTGCTTTGGTTATTTGAAACATAACTTTGCCACCTGATCTTATTTCTATAATTTTTGCCAAAATATATACCGTTACATATAAACTGTGCTGTGCATTTCTTTTGATTTCTGTTTTCTATGACTGATTAATGAAGAGATAATGGTAATAGCAGCAGACCTGGCCAGAGACAACTTTGTGCCACTTTGAGGTCGAGCTGACTGTCCTTTTAGAGTAATTGAAATACATTACTTGCACACCTAAGACATCGTGGGATAAACAATTAGGGAAGCAAATTATATTTTGGTATTTATTACATATAAATGGGAGTATATGAGTGAAAACACAATTTTACAGAGCCTTGGTGAGACTATGCCCAGAGTATTATCATAGAATCATCATAGAATCCCTACAGTGTGGAAACAGGCCCTTTGGCCCAACAAGTCCACACCGACTCTCAGAGCCTCCCACCCAGACACATTCCCCTCTAATCCACACATCCTTGAACACTACGGGCAATTTAGCATGGCCAATCCACCTAACCTGCACATCTTTGGATTGTGGGAGGAAACCGGAGCACCCGGAGGAAACCCATGCAGACACGGGGAGAATGTGCAAACTCCACACAGACAGTCACCCGAGAGTGAATTGAACCCAGGTCCCTGGCACTGTGAGGCAGCAGTGCTAACCGCTGAGCCACCGTGCTCTATACACTACACTATACACTACATACATACTGTATGTAGTTCTGATTTACTTACCTAAGGAAAGATATACTTAAAGAGAGTGCATGAAAAGTTCACTAGACTGAATACTGGGTTGAGGGAATTCTTCTATAAGGAGAGATCGAGTCGACTGGGTTTCCTAAATTTCCAAGAATATAAAAGAATGGGGTGATCCAATCCTAAAGGGATACGACAGATTATTTCTCCAGACTGTGGAGCCTAGAA